CACAGTTTTATGTTGCTGATATAGAACAGTTTTATGTTGCTGATATAGAACAGAGGCATGTTGCTCTGTTATGTTGCTGATAGAGAACAGTGTTATGTTGCTGATATAGAACAGTTTTATGTTGCTGATATAGAACAGAGGCATGTTGCTCTGTTATGTTGCCGATAGAGAACAGTTTTATGTTGCTGATAAAGTACAGTTTTATGTTGCTGATAGAGAACAGTTTTATGTTGCTGATAGAGAACAGTTTTATGTTGCTGATATATAACAGTTTTATGTTGCTGATATAGAACAGAGGCATGTTGCTCTGTTATGTTGCCGATAGAGAACAGTTTTATGTTGCTGATAAAGAACAGTTTTATGTTGCTGATTGAGAACAGTTTTATGTTGCTGATATAAAACAGTTTTATGTTGCTGATAGAGAACAGTGTTATGTTGCTGATAGAGAACAGTTTTATGTTGCTGATATAGAACAGTGCCATGTTGCTCTGTTATGTTGCTGATAGAGAACAGTTTTATGTTGCTGATAGAGAACAGTTTTATGTTGCTGATAGAGAACAGTGGCATGTTGCTGATATAGAACAGTGGCATGTTGCTCTGTTATGTTGCTGATAGAGAACAGTTTTATGTTGCTGATAGAGAACAGTTTTATGTTGCTGATAGAGAACAGTTTTATGTTGCTGATAGAGAACAGTTTTATGTTGCTGATATAGAACAGTTTTATGTTGCTGATATAGAACAGAGGCATGTTGCTGATATAGAACAGTTTTATGTTGCTAATATAGAATAGTTTTATGTTGCTGATAGAGAACAGTTTTATGTTGCTTATATAGAACAGTTTTATGTTGCTGATATAGAACAGTTTTATGTTGCTGATAGAGAACAGTGTTATGTTGCTGATAGAGAACAGTGGCATGTTGCTGATAGAGAACAGTTTTATGTTGCTGATAGAGAACAGTTTTATGTTGCTGATATAGAACAGTTTTATGTTGCTGATAGAGAACAGTTTTATGTTGCTGATAGAGAACAGTTTTATGTTGCTGATATAGAACAGTTTTATGTTGCTGATAGAGAATAGTGTTATGTTGCTGATATAGAACAGTTTTATGTTGCTGATATTGAACAGTTTTATGTTGCTGATAGAGAACAGTGTTATGTTGCTGATAGAGAACAGTGTTATGTTGCTGATAGAGAACAGTTTTATGTTTCTGATATAGAACAGTGTTATGTTGCTGATAGAGAACAGTGTTATGTTGCTGATAGAGAACAGTTTTATGTTGCTGATAGAGAACAGTGGCATGTTGCTCTGTTATGTTGCTGATAGAGAACGGTTTTATGTTGCTGATAGAGAACAGTTTTATGTTGCTGATATAGAACAGTTTTATGTTGCTGATAGAGAACAGTGTTATGTTGCTGATATAGAACAGTTTTATGTTGCTGATATAGAACAGAGGCATGTTGCTCTGTTATGTTGCTGATAGAGAACAGTTTTTGTTGCTGATAGAGAACAGTTTTATGTTCCTGATAAAGAACAGTTTTATGTTGCTGATAGAGAACAGTTTTATGTTGCTGATATAGAACAGTTTTATGTTGCTGATATAGAACAGAGGCATGTTGCTCTGTTATGTTGCTGATAGAGAACAGTGTTATGTTGCTGATATAGAACAGTTTTATGTTGCTGATATAGAACAGAGGCATGTTGCTCTGTTATGTTGCCGATAGAGAACAGTTTTATGTTGCTGATAAAGTACAGTTTTATGTTGCTGATAGAGAACAGTTTTATGTTGCTGATAGAGAACAGTTTTATGTTGCTGATATATAACAGTTTTATGTTGCTGATATAGAACAGAGGCATGTTGCTCTGTTATGTTGCCGATAGAGAACAGTTTTATGTTGCTGATAAAGAACAGTTTTATGTTGCTGATTGAGAACAGTTTTATGTTGCTGATATAAAACAGTTTTATGTTGCTGATAGAGAATAGTGTTATGTTGCTGATATAGAACAGTTTTATGTTGCTGATATAGAACAGTTTTATGTTGCTGATAGAGAACAGTGTTATGTTGCTGATAGAGAACAGTGTTATGTTGCTGATAGAGAACAGTTTCATGTTTCTGATATAGAACAGTGTTATGTTGCTGATAGAGAAGAGTGTTATGTTGCTGATAGAGAACAGTGGCATGTTGCTCTGTTATGTTGCTGATAGAGAACGGTTTTATGTTGCTGATAGAGAACAGTTTTATGTTGCTGATAGAGAACAGTTTTATGTTGCTGATATAAAACAGTTTTATGTTGCTGATAGAGAATAGTGTTATGTTGCTGATATAGAACAGTTTTATGTTGCTGATATGGAACAGTTTTATGTTGCTGATAGAGAACAGGTTTATGTTGCTGATAGAGAACAGTGTTATGTTGCTGATAGAGAACAGTGTTATGTTGCTGATAGAGAACAGTTTTATGTTTCTGATATAGAACAGTGTTATGTTGCTGATAGAGAACAGTGTTATGTTGCTGATAGAGAACAGTTTTATGTTGCTGATAGAGAACAGTGGCATGTTGCTCTGTTATGTTGCTGATAGAGAACGGTTTTATGTTGCTGATAGAGAACAGTTTTATGTTGCTGATAGAGAACAGTTTTATGTTGCTGATAGAGAACAGTTTTATGTTTCTGATATAGAACAGTGTTATGTTGCTGATAGAGAACAGTGTTATGTTGCTGATAGAGAACAGTGTTATGTTGCTGATAGAGAACAGTGGCATGTTGCTCTGTTATGTTGCTGATAGAGAACGGTTTTATGTTGCTGATAGAGAACAGTTTTATGTTGCTGATAGAGAACAGTTTTATGTTGCTGATAGAGAACAGTTTTATGTTGCTGATATAGAACAGTGGCATGTTACTACTATAGAATATTGTTATGTTGCTGTAAGAGAACAGTAGCACATATTCTCCATGGCAGATATCGATTAGCTTGCAAGACTTAACCCAAGATTTAACCTTAAATGAATAGTCATTTCAAACTCATGTTTAGAAACTAATAATTTTTCCTGCTTTTCTTTAATAATTAACAACCACACGCTATCTTCTCAGAGATTTTTTGTGTATTTCAGAAGCTATTTTCATTTTATATTAGACTGTTCATTTCCTAGCCGTCTTCTATTTTAGACTGTTTTAAAATGATATCCTGCATACTTTGTTGATGAGGATGTAATAAATAGTCCGAGGCTCTTTCTCGTTAAAGTTTCTGATAACCGCGAATAATTAGGCTTATTTTGCGTGATATCCTTTGTATAGTTTTTAAACGTTACGTGTATTATTTTCTGTATTAAATAATAGGACTGTTCTAGGGCTGTTCACGTCTTGGATGTGAATTCTGAGGCAACGGACATTGTTTTTTTTTTAATTTTCTACGGTTTGTAGATCAATAAACATAAAAAGTAATTTTATTTGTGTATTTTTCCGGCTGCGCAATTTGTACCGTTTACGTTAAGGGATTAAAATGTTTTTATGCTGTTTGTGCCTTCATAACGCTTCGATATTTTAAGATAAAACTTTAAAAGGTAACAGACATATTATTCAAAATTGTCGAGTTTCGCGAAAATTAGATATCTGTATTTTTAAACCCATCTATGATAGGCATATGTCTGTAACTTTATGCTAAACTGAATGAATATGAAATTCTAAAATAAAAGTTTGCTTGATGATCTAGTGAGTTTCTTGGTTTGTTACAATCTTAACCAGAAAGTTTCATGCCAACTCAAAATACATGTATAAAATATCAATTAACCGGTACATTAAAGATAAGATATGTAACACAAAAAATTTATCAAAATACAAGCCTTCATTTCTTACAATTCAGGGTCATTGGATATATTCCGTAGAATGGTTTTATCAATTTAAACTTATGGCGAGCTAGTTTTACAACTGGCGTATTTACTGCTTGACAAAGGGGGTAAGTGAAGTTTTCAGAAGAAGATTTTGGTCTCAGAAACCGTGCTCTCTGTGGATTTTCTTATGCAGTGTTGAACTATAAAGATTTCAGGGAAGCTACCATCTTATACCTGTACTGTAGCTAAAAATTGCACACGTTTTTAAGATCAAGGGCAATAACTAATACCAAATATATTTAGATTTTTTTTTTAGATTTTCAATAGAGTTCATCCTTGGGTGATAACTGTCAAGTTTCGTCCAAATCCGTCAAGAATTGTTTCGAAATTAATGACTGCTTTTTTTGTTTATTAGCAACCATATGCAATTGGTGATCGCTATGGTGTGAAGACCACTAAAGCTTCATTACATGCTAAATTACCTAAAACAGGAGATGCAGAACAATTTTGTCAGATCATGGTTGGGAGGTGTAGTCCGGGCAGAAGAAAACACAATATGAACTGAAATACGCCAGTGAATACAGATGTAATCAGAGGCCTGTCCAGAAAGATCTCTGATTGGCTGTATTCGCTAGGGTATAATCAAATCAAATCGCTGCATTTACAAATGTTTGTGACGCAAGCAAGGAGACAATTGCAGTCAAGATATAACAAGCTGGAGTAATCTTTGTAATGATACGTATGACAAACATCTTTATTGAGGGAAAAACATGGCTTCACCTTGTACGTATGTCATATAATCGTGACATTGACATCATGATCATAATCGTGTCCGGTTTTATAATCATAAGAAGAAGCTGTTATCTTAAATAATTATGTTATTAACCGACTATGTTATACAATAATCTTATTGGCGAATGCTTATTAACTTATTTAACCAATATTTTGTTACAGGATATAAAAAAGGTTTTGTAAACAAGCTTATACAGAAAGTACAAACAAAATGTGTATATTAATATATTCTGTACATTCGCCAGCAAACACACTGAACACTTGAGAGAGTGGGAGCAGATGGTGTTTATCGTGGTACAGGGTCGAAAAACAATTACAATCGGATTTTACAAGGCTCTTTTCATGGTAGAGGGGACCATGTCTAGAGTAGATATACAATATTTCTTCCCAGGGTAAGTTTACAAGGTAAGTATACAAATAATGTATACAAGATCCACCACTAAGATTAGTATGCAGTGTAAGTGTACACGATCCACGACAAGGGTAAGAATATAAGGTCCACTAATAAGTATTTAAGATCAAGTAATAGGACAATTAGTTTACCAGGCAAGTATACAAGATCCTATTCTAGGATAAGTATACCAGGCAAGTATGCAAGATTCACTACGAGGGTAAGTATACAAGATCGATTTCTAAAGAAACGTGTACACAATATCTTTTTTAACTATGTTACAGTGAAAATAAAAGAACGAAAATATGCTCCAATAACAATCAAGGTTTTTTGTAAAGGACCAGGTTTGCCTTTTTTTTACCAATCGTACCTTAGCCTCAGATTTTTTTTAGCTATTATTAGTAATAGCGTTCACAGCTCACCGTCGAAATTTGAGCCTTCAACATAACGTGTGCCCAGAATTAGCCGTGCTTGAAAGTTAAAAAGACGACTCGTCTTTTCTTGAGACTCTGCCATATTATATACAAAAGACATATAGAAATATAAATTAAAATTTCTAATTTAGGTATTTTTAAAGGAATTATGCGATTTTGGTACATTTTTAGTACATCTGAAGACTATTTACATAATTATATTCAAAATCCAAATCAACTCCCGAAAATGGCGAATCTGTCCTTTTAGAGGAAAAGGATGATGATCATGATTATGATGATCATGATTATGATGATGATTTGGTTAACTTACTTACTTCTTCACGATACATGCAATGGAATGTGATTATTTCATGTTTTTCGCAACTAAAAATTTGCCTTTCAAGATTGTTAACACCTCTGTCAGTTTTGAAATCCAGAAATATCATGTGCTAATGAAAAGTAGAACTGTTAGCTACGAATATCATGAAGATAGACATCCATTTCATCTCATTAAGTTAAGACTAAAAAAACTGATGACTCACTCCAACGCAAACGATGTGTCAAACCAGTCTGCTGTTACACTTACACGTAGGATTCAAATACTAGAATTGTGCAATCTGTCAATAACATTCAACATCATTAGACAGTTCCGGAATAATCTCGATGTAATGCCACGGAAAGTTGTTTTTTTTTCAAACAAAATATTATAAGAGCTTCTGTAAACGTGTTTTGTGAGGGCGGAAATATTTAGGGTTCCAGACATCTGTCAGGAGGCGATATATCACAATATTTAAATCAACTGAATGTTAAGCTTTTTCTTTTTGCTGTACAATAGATAGAACTTCACATCATGTGTCACAAAAAATGTCTGTCTAATCTTTTGAACTGACGACAGGGAAGTGGGTTGTGGAATAAGATACGGGTTCAGTAAGACTGAGTCGTAAAGTAAGTTAATATAGTAATTACTGAAGTGCTAGTAAAGACAAGTTATGTCATGTCTATAATTAATTGACATTGCCCACTCAAAGCACATGTCATACGCTGAGGTGCCCATGCTGACAAAATCAATGGGATAAATGGCTAATGAGTCTAATTATTATCTTGGATTAATCAAGGTAGATCATCCTGGATCATTTAAGATGAATCATCCTGGATCATTAAAGATGGATCATCCCGGATCATTCAAGATGAATCATCCTGGATCATTCATGATGGATTATCCTGCTGGATCATTTAAGATGAATCATCCTGGATCATTCAAGATGGATCATCCTGGTAAATTTGAGATGAAAGATGAAATTGAATGACAAAGCCAATTTGACAAGCGAATGTCAATATAGCATAGCGAACATATGTTAGTATAGCATCTGTAAAATGAATAAAACTCATTGAACTACATTCATCACGGAAGTTTCTATCAGAGCATAACGACCAAGAAAAGTCAAAGAAATTTGGATTTCCAACATCAAAGAAAAACAATTAGAAAATCTAATAAATTCAAATTGGAATTCACCATGAAATAGATTTTGTTGTGATTAAGAATCCTAGGAAGAATTTAACCACTTTTAAATGACATATGTGTCTGGAGAAGCCTTAGCTATCACTTCAATATGAAAGTCTATTAGTTGATCAGTAATTGACTAGATAATACAGTAAATGACATCCTAATAGGTTAATTATTGTTGAATGTTTACATGAAATGGTCAAAACATGACTGAGCAAGGTCGTCTGACAACTTCAACGCCCTTCTGTGTGTCCAATTGGAATCGTCTAGTTTCATGTAACAAACATGTTTAAAGCAGTTATTAAATTTTTACACTGTCAAATCCTATGCTTGTACCAATACTGTAGACGTACTTAACTGCGATTTAAAAATAATACGTTATTTTAATATCGTTTATAAAATAATATGTACTTTTCATGTACTTTAGTTGGTTGTAAAATAATATGTACTTTACATTGTTGTAAAATAATATGTACTTAAGTTGGTTGTAAAATAATATGTACTTTACATAGGTTGTAAAATAATATGTACTTTACATGGTTGTAAAATAATATGTACTTTAGTTGGTTGTAAAATAATATGTACTTTACATAGGTTGTAAAATAATATGTACTTTAGTTGGTTGTAAAATAATATATACTTTAGTTGGTTGTAAAATAATATGTACTTTACATGGTTGTAAAATAATATGTACTTTACATAGGTTGTAAAATAATATGTACTTTAGTTGGTTGTAAAATAATATGTACTTTACATAGGTTGTAAAATAATATGTACTTTAGTTGGTTGTAAAATAATATGTACTTTACATGGTTGTAAAATAATATGTACTTTACATACGTTGTAAAATAATATGTACTTTAGTTGGTTGTAAAATAATATGTACTTTACATAGGTTGTAAAATAATATGTACTTTACATCGATTGTAAAAAAAATATGCACTTTACATCAATTATACTATGTTACTATGTAATCCATTTGTAGTTATGTATTGTATATTGTACTGAGATTTTATTCTATGTAATTTACTACGATGACTTTACTACGAATTTATTAAATGTACTTCTTTGTACAATAAGAAGTTTACTATGATTAAATTAGGCTTATATGTACTTGAAAACGATTTAACAATATGCATTTTACCACAATTTTGTTATATGTATTACTTTATATTTCAATAATTTTACGATTACTACGATATTTTATGCTTTACTACGATTCTTAAATTTTGCTTTATTTCATTTTTTTAAAATGTTTACTTTAAATTTACTACGATTTCAATATTAATCCAACTCTTCCTCACAAATGAAAAAAACATTCTCATGAGACTGGCTTACACATGATCAGAATACTATAGGTGATCAATTTTAATACATCAGAGAAATTCCAAAAATAACTTAGTGCTTAGACATGTAACCATGTGAGGAAAGTTCAACTTTGTGGCCCATGTAAACTAACAATTGTGATATCTCTCAATTACGGTGTTTTTCACGAACAAGCTCGAAGCTAAAGGGTTGGGGATCAGAAAGGAACGTGTAGGCCTCTCTGACCAATGACGTCGAATGCAGGAACAGGCTATGTGATGTTGTATGTATTGGTGTTGGTCCTTTAGAAAATTTTAGACTACACAATGACAATGCCAGAAAGTCAGTTCCATTGCCACTGGAGGGGTGCTTAGACCAATAAAGTTCGCTCTTGTGACCAAAGTCTTGTGAATGGCTTACATGGTGGTTTTAAAATGTCAAATGGTTTGAAATAAGAGTTCGCTGATGTGTTGAGAGTTGAGACATAATTGATCGTGTTCGGCTTCTTAATTATAAAATAAGTAATTGATTATATACTTGATGACTTTTTTAACGATTGCTTCCAAGGATATACTTTACCCGATTTATTCTGATGACGACTATGTTAGTAATTAATTTGGAATTTAACCCGGAACATGTTGATCGTCTAATGATAATTATTCTGTTCTATTTACTATCATCTTGTCTGTTTCAATTACCATTGTTTATCATTTTTATTCCCACTGATAATTGGTTGGTATTTGGCCAAAGGATAAGAGAAGGCTGTGAATAAGAAAGGGTTATAAACTGTACAAAACTGGATCACACTGCCGATGAATGTAGGTGAACTTTACTGAGTTGATGTTTGTGGCTTGAATGGATTCTGAGTTATGGAATTAAGCCTATCATAGCTTGCAGTGATCATGGTATGGGGACTTGCAATGATCATGATATAGGAGGAGCTCGAACCGATCATGGTATAAGGACTTGCAACAATTATGGTATCAAAACATGAACCGATCATAGTATCAGATTCTGAACCCTCGTGGTATCAGATCCCGAACACATCATGACATGAGATCTTGAAGCGATCATGATATGAGATCTTAAAGTGATCAATGTATCAGGTCGCGAATCAATCATGGTATGAGAAAGTGAACCAATCATGGAATCAGAACTTAAACCGCATCAGCATCAGATCCTGAAGCCCGCGTGGTATAAGAGCATGAACCGTTCGTGGTACCAGATCATGAGATCAGATCTCGCAACGATCATGGCATAAGAACTTATGCACGATCATGGTATCAGATCATGAACCGATTATAAAATATAAGTTATGAGCCTGAACCGATCATGTTAACATCTGATCATGAACCGATCATAAAATAAGAGCCTGGATCGATCATGGTATCAGAACATGAACCGATCATGGTAGTGTCAGATCTGGAAAACGGTCATGGTTGTATCAGATCTTGAATACGATCATGATATCAAATCTTGAATACGATCACAATATCAAATCTTGAATACGATCATAATATCAAAGCTTGAATACGATCATAATATCGAATCTTGAATACGATCATGATGTAAGGTATTGAAATGATCATGGTATAAGAAATTTGAATAAGAATTGCTAGTGTGACCTGAAATCAGATTATTCGAGATCACAATTTCCTCTAAGCCATCAATAATTTGACATGACCTATGTTTGGAGAGAAAGTAATTTTTACCATCAGATGTAGTTAGCAAATATATTATATTAAGTTGAAACTTCTATATTAAATGATGTCACATGAGAATAACAGCTAACAAGACTGTCTTTGATCACTGCTAAACTACTCTGTATATTTACACGTTCTAGACAGGAGCTGCATTGATTTACTGTTTTCAATATACTTTGATAAATGTCGTTTCGTGTAATGAAAGTTTTTAAGACTGCATCAATCTCGTGGGTTTCTAGTGATAAATTGAATGTCAACGTCCATGGTTAAATTTACATTTAAACCAGAGCTAGGTTGCTCATTTTAGAGACGGATTGGAAATGTGACGTTCTTAATCTTTTGTTTCCAACTAATAAGGTGCAGATCAATCGTGTTACTGGAAACAATCTAATCGTCTTATTTAAGAAGGTCTTGATGGTTAGTTTGACTTTTTCTGATTCACGTGTAGTGATTGAAAACTGTCTGGAGAAGACAATATTCTTTTTTGTTATTTAAGATGCAATTGTTTGCTTTATTGCGATCAAATGATGTCTGGCTAAAGGACACAAACTGCTTTTATTACACAATAAATCATGCAGGAAGAATGAAGAAGTGTTTAGATCTCTTCCATACCAGTAGTTATTTCTTTTGATGATTCAATGTAATATAAGATTGCTATTGGGGTGCTGTAATATTATAACCTAAGTTGTGATAAATGTTCGAATTTATGTACCATCCTTTGTCTTTCAAGGCATTATGAAATCGGCTGTACCACAGGTATTTCATTGTTCAGATTCTCATAGAAGAGGTACGGCGTTTGATGAGATGTAAAGAGAAAGATCACCTATAAAGTTGATAAGGTAAGAGGCGGGTACACCAAATATGCTCGTCAATAGCTAAAAAGGATGGGGGTGGGATGATTATATGAAAAACATCCTTTTATCACCACACTTTTCAATTCTCAGTGAGATGACCTATCTCTTGATTGGTCTGTTGAATTAGTTAGCTGAGTCTGTGAGAGTTAGCTTTGGACAAGAGATACGGGTCTGAACACGATGTTGTAGCGATACTCCTGCGCCATATACCACACCTTCTAGTAAGGTTTAAAGGCGTAGACGGCAAGGTATTTGGAGCAGTAGTCGGAAATATTCGCCAAACAAAGACAATAGTCGGTCATAAGGACATAATCATTTGCCAAACAACTCCTGAAATTATTACGGAATTCTAAACATGAAGTTTCTCCTTTGTTTTCGGTGCATCGTTATGAATAATGACTCAATTTCCTGAAAAGTGAAAAGAAAACTATGTTATCTATCTCATCACATTTCTGTTTCTACATGTGGGATTAAAAAATGATATCTTCAGAAATTCTGATGGATTGTTGTTGATAAGAGTACTAAATGAAGAGTGGCTGATACGACATGATAATCGAGTTATTTGGTTTACACCATGATAATCGAGTTATTTAGTTTACTGGATCATCAGTATATCATAGTACAACCAAGTCATATCAATATTCTTAATCTCTGAAATCGCTGATAATGGAAACTAGTTGAGTTTATCGTAATAAAAACATAGTAAGGTATGGTCATTTTCCCACAGGACATCGTCGGTGAAGATAACTATGGTTTTATTCCTGTTAACAGGC